AATATCATCCATTTATAAATATTTTTAATTAATTAATTAATTACTAGTATTAAAAATTAAAATATAGAGGTGAATTTTGTAATGTAATATTATTCTCCATTATTTGTCTCTTAATATTTATTTTGTTGAATATATGAATTTATCATGTCCCTTTCTTTTAATACTAAAATTAAAAAAATAATTATATCCTTTAAAACTTATCTTTAAGTATCTCAATATTATTATTCACTAATTATTATTTTTAGATTCAAACAAGGAGCCTAAATTACCACAACCAATTTCTTCCTCATATGAAAAAATTCATTGTAAGTACAAACAAACAACTATCTAAGAAATCAAAAGATGGATCATTATCAAATAAAAAAGTTCATTCAAGGAGAAAGACATATATACAAATTTTTGACAAATCATCATATGAAGAGCCAATTCTAATTCAAAGTTTAAAGATTTTGCAAGAACAACTGCTCTTTATATGAAGTTTTTTATCTCGGGATTGTTTGCATATAGCTTTTTGCAAAACATCTTGAGGTTTCTTCGGACACAATCTGCAGTAATGCCATTGATTGTACTATCAGCTCTTCCATTGTTGCTTCATATTGGTATTGCATATGGCTTGCTTCAGTGGTCAGCTTCTTTGTAAAGGGCATGGTCAAAATGAGCAACATCAACACTCTCACTGGAAGCTAGGACAGATCAGATTCAATTGCAGAAAATTCAATTAAAAATGTTGCATCAAAAATTGGAAACAAACTGCAATTAAGTAAAAGAAAACAAAAAAACATGCGAGAGGAATTGACAGAAACAGATCGGAGAAGGGGATTTAGACAATGGGAAAAACAATTGGCTGCTTACATGACCCAAAAGACAACAACTCAGTCCCCAAAAGACAAGAACTCCCAAATCCCCTAAGACATGACCCAAAAAGAATAAAAGTTCAGTCTACATATCACAACATAGTCTAGTTCAGATTCACATTTTAGGTCAAAAGCATGTAAAATCTTCTGCAAAAAACTAAAACAAACATATTCACCATGTAAATAAATTATTATTGAGCCAAAAATTATCATATGTAGCAATGAAACCAAATTAGCTCTCAAAAACGGAATCCTGATAAACTCATGGAAGTAGCTTTCTACTTTGTTTGAGAAACAAAATAGTTGATGGATAAAAGATCAAAATTCTCAATTCCTGAAATAAATTGAATTACAAGAACAGGTAGTCACCTTCGAACTAACTGCTCAAGTTCCTCTTCCTCCTCAGCTTCTTCGTGATCAAATCGAGGGGCAGTTGTTGTAGTTCTGCCAGCAAGAAGGTCAAAATGAGCAACATCAACACTCTCACTGGAAGCTAGGACAGATCAGATTCAATTGCAGAAAATTCAATTAAAAATGTTGCATCAAAAATTGGAAACAAACTGCAATTAAGTAAAAGAAAACAAAAAAACATGCGAGAGGAATTGACAGAAACAGATCGGAGAAGGGGATTTAGACAATGGGAAAAACAATTGGCTGCTTACATGACCCAAAAGACAACAACTCAGTCCCCAAAAGACAAGAACTCCCAAATCCCCTAAGACATGACCCAAAAAGAATAAAAGTTCAGTCTACATATCACAACATAGTCTAGTTCAGATTCACATTTTAGGTCAAAAGCATGTAAAATCTTCTGCAAAAAACTAAAACAAACATATTCACCAAGTAAATAAATTATTATTGAGCCAAAAATTATCATATGTAGCAATGAAACCAAATTAGCTCTCAAAAACGGAATCCTGATAAACTCATGGAAGTAGCTTTCTACTTTGTTTGAGAAACAAAATAGTTGATGGATAAAAGATCAAAATTCTCAATTCCTGAAATAAATTGAATTACAAGAACAGGTAGTCACCTTCGAACTAACTGCTCAAGTTCCTCTTCCTCCTCAGCTTCTTCGTGATCAAATCGAGGGGCAGTTGTTGTAGTTCTGCCAGCAAGAAGGTCATCATGTCTTGCAAGAACTTTCTGAAGTTGCTCATTCAATTCAATTGCTCGAGAAACTATGCTTTCATCTCTGCAAAAGACCAATGCAAAACCAGTTTAAGGAAAAAATTAACCATATAATAATAAATAGATGCATTGTCAGGTTGTACATGTGCAAAACTGAAAATACATTAATATTAGGGAAAATTACAAGAGAAGATTTCATTCTGAAAGTAAATCCAGATTAGGAATAATTAATTACTTAACTTGTTGAATATGTTCAAATAGTGATTTCTGAGTAACCCTTTGTTAACTGGTTTGTTCAAAATACTTGAAATGTTCTTATCATGAGTGTATCTTTGTGGTTTTCCCATAG